GTTTGTATAAAAACAAAATGAATTACAATTGAGAAAATGTTTCTATACATCTAGGTTTAAATATATACCCAATATTTCCTCTCTGTATAGAAGCAAGTAATGAATCCCTCTTAAGTGTTAAAAATGTGTTTCCCCTACTCAAAGCACAGCTGACTGATCTACTTACAGTTGATTTGATCGCTACCTACTAAAACAGCAGCTATTTGTAAACCTTTAATTTTTCCAACAATTTTTTTTTTCAGAACTGGGGATTGAGCTCAAGCCCTTACACTTGCCAGGCAAGCGCTTATTCTACTGAGCTACCTCCCCGGCCCCTCCAACAAAATATTATAAACATTTCAAGCATATGGAAAAATTGCTTGAAATATGGCGTTTTTCTCTGCATACTTCACATTTAATACCTAGAGATGTTGTGATTAAATTTTTACCAGATTTTCTGTATTATATATTTACTTCTGTGTACTTCTACCACATTTTTTCTTTAATGTATTTCCAAGAAAACAATAAAACTCAATCTTTTTTTTTTCTTTTTCTTTTTCTTTTTCTTTTTTTTTTTTTTTATGGTACCAGTGTTCAAACTCAGGACCTTGCATTTGCTAGGCAGGCATTTATGCCACTAAACTATCTCCTTAGCCCAATATAGCTCAGGCTACAACAACAATAATAATAACAAAAGTCAAATGAGTCATAAGAATAGGGCCCAGAGCTGGTCAAATAGCTTAGTGGATTAAAGCACCTGCAAGTAGGTGCAGGGGCCGGGGGTTTGATCCTGGGGGCACACTGATCGGCGATTGAGACTGGGCATGATGGGGCACACATGTAATCCCGGCTCTTGGGAGGCTGTAAACAGGTGGATCACTAGGAGTCCAATCTAGTAGTGAGACCCTGAACACCCTGTAGACCCTTCCCTAAAATACAAAAAATACAAAAAAAAAAAAAAAAAGAAAGAAAGAAATAGGGCCCTAACCTTGAAGAAATAGTATTCTTATATTCTTATAAGAGGAAGCGCCAAACATGAGGTCACACACCGGTAATCCCAGAGTGAATGAAGTGAGGCAGAAGGATCATGAGTTTGAGGTCCAGGAGGAGGAGAGCCAGAGTGGGAGGAGAAGGAGAGCCTAGGGACCTCACTGTGTGCACATGAAGGAGAAAGGCAGGGTGGGGAGATAGCTCAGCAGTCTAAGCACCTGCCTGGCAAGCACACGGATCTGGGTTCAATCCCCAGACCAGTGCCATGCTGGCCTCAGAACCCTGGATGTGCTGTGCCAGCCACTGAAACCCGGCGTGGTGGCACATGTCTATAATTCCAGTGCTGGGTAGGCTGAGACAGGAGGATCACTATGAGTCTGAGCTGTGTAGCAAGACCTTGTACCACATAAATAAAGATTCTTTAAAAATTTTGTTTAAAAAAAGGCAGTGTGAGGACACAATGGGATTGCTGCATGCCACATATCAATCCTGAAAGCCCCTTGACGCTGGCCACTAGCCTTGAGGACCATGAGTGAATGTGCTCTATAAAGCCACTCCATCTCTGCTGATCTGTGTGACTAGAGCCACAGCCTTGATTCCTGCTAAGATGCTGCAGAATTACCCACCATTGCTTTTGCACTATTACTAGAAATGCCAGCATAATAAAAAGGCAAATGACACCACAGTGTTGTTACTTTTAGCTTGGAGACACTGATCCCCAGGGTGGACGTACTACCCTGAGGATCCCTGGGTAACCTGTCTTGCTTCATTATGACTTTTGATTCTTTTGAAGGGGGGTCTTCTGGAGTTTGGGAGTTGTTTTTGTTTCTGGGGGGGTGTTGTTTGTTTTTGTACTTTTTGTATGCATGTGGTACAGGGTCTCACTACCCAGCTTGCACTCCTAGTGATCCTCCTGTTTTCAGCCTTCCCAGCGCTGGGATTTCAGGCCTGTGCCACCATACCCGGTCTTGGTGGCTGGCTCAGCATACTCAGGGTGGTGCCAGCATGGCCTGTGGAGCCAGAGATTGAGCCCGGGTCCCTGAGCTTGCCTAAGCAGGCGCTTAGTCTGCTGAGCTGGCTCATGGCCCGTTTTTGGACTTTGTTAGGGTTTCTGTTATTTTTGTGTTTTGAGACGGGGTCTCACTATATAGCTCAGACTGGCCTCCAGACCAAGGCCGTCTTCCTCACTCAGCCTCCCAAGTTCTGGGATTATGGGCATGTGGTACCACACCCAGTTTACTATAAGCTGGAAAGGATATGCAGTCTTATCTTGCTATATTTCAGAGCTTTGAATAATTCATCTCATCCTCACAAGAGCCGAGCATGGTGGCATGTGCCTGTCGTTCCAGCACTAGGCAGGCTGATGCCGGAGCAGCTCTGAGCATTCAAGGCCCGCCTACACTGCATAGTGAGTTCAAATGCAACAGTGAGTTCAATGACAAGCAGAAACACCAAAACGACACCCAGAATTTGGAGACAGATTTATTTACATCTACGGGCACTGATTGGGACCATGCCCAGAATATCAGCCCTGATCTCTGGTGGTCTAGGGCTTACATGGGATAAGCAAGCAGGAAATACAGAGGCCGAATGGCTTGTCAATCAGGGGCTGGTTCTTACAATATGCATCACAGTGACCAGCTGCTTTTAAGAGACTGGAGTAACCAGAACTGGAACAGGAACGATTACCTGGGCAACTAAGAAACTGAAGTATACTGGCTGGAGGGGCCATTGACCGTTACACAGGGCAGCCTGGACTGTAATAGGGAAACTTTGTCTCAAGAAAATGAGTACAAAAAGTGTCATGAGAGCCAGACAAGGCCTGCAATCCCAACACTCGGAGGCTAAGGCAATGTAGCAAATTCCAGCCCAGCCCAAGAATACGCACTTCAGGCTGGGCTGGACTATAAAAACACTGTCTCCAGAAGAAAGAAGAGAAAGGAGCCAGGCATGGTCGTCATGGGCATAGCGCAGTCCACCCTCCCAGATGCAACCCTGGGCTCTCCTCACATCACAGGCTGTGCCCAGGAGTGGAGAAGCCATGCTGCCTCCACCCCCACCAACTTCCACACTCCTTGCCGCCACCACTGATGGCAGTCTTCCTGCCTCAGCCTCCTGAGTGTTGGGATTACAGGGATACACCACCACATCCAGCTCCACAATGGAGACTCATGACAAGAGACTTGAAGGAAGAATTGAGTGAGAAGCAGGCACCCATGAGGAAGCCCGAGGCCTGGATAAATGTGGAGTGTATCTAGCCAGAGGCTCTGAGACCTGGCCCAGAAGGAGAAGGCTATCTCAGCTGGCCAAGGCCTGAAGGGCACAGGACACCCCAAATAGTGCTGCTGGACAGCTCCTAGCCAGAGTGATGTCCACCTTCCTGGAACAGGGTCTCCTGAGCCCTGAGGAAGGAGTGGCTGAAGGGCCCAGAAGAAGGGAGAGCCTCATGGCCATCAGAGGTTCTGCCCACTCTTGGGCACAGGGCCGCAGTTGGCACCGGCTACTGTGGCAGGGCCATCGAAGCCGTGGTTGACATAGGTGGTGGCAGGGCTGGGAGTCAGGGGCTGCTTCTTGAAGGAGGTCTCAGGGGCTGTGGCCACCCCCTGTACTCGTTCTTTCTCCAGCACCAGAGCAGGGTTGATGTCAGGCCCTGCCAAGAAACGGGAGGGAGTCCGTGGTTGGGCAAGCAGTGGTGCAGAGTGTACGGAGCCCGAGAGGGCAGCAGGGAGCAGGCTGAGCCCCCACCTCACATGCTCCTCATGCAGTCACTGAAAGCAGCGGTGAGGAAGCCCTGAGACCCAGCTGTCCTTTCCTCTAGACAATGCCCTCCTCCACCTCCCTTCCCCTGAACAAACACTCAGGGCCATGGGGTCTGTGAGTGGATCTGGACTTGCTGTGTACCTCTCTGGGTCACTGCCTATGTGGCCCAAGCTTCTGTGGGGTCCTGGTGACCAGAGCTTGGGGATCAATCTCTGTAAGCTCTTTGTCACCTCTCAGCCCAGGAACCAGGCCACTACTACCTCCACCATCCTGGTCCTGGTGTGGCCCCCAAGGCTGTGTCTCCTTGCTGCCCTTGTGCCTCCACACCATCCCCACCCAAGAACCTCCAAAAAGGGCCAGGAGATGCCTGAAGGAGGCTTTGGTGTCACAGGTAAGGACGCTAGAGCTGTGTGGGATACAACCCCACTTTTGCTGGACAGTCTGCAACCCAAGGTGGGTATTTCCGCTTCTTCCTCTATAAAATGGGGCTGATTATAATACCTTCTCCCAAGGGTGACAAGAGAATTGAAGGCATATAAGCTGAGGCACAGATGCAGCCTTCTGTGAATGTTTCCTGGCAACACTTTATAACTAACAGCGTGGTAGAGGGTGGCGGTGAGCTCCCCCAGTTTGCCCACCCTGAGAGCTGGAAGCACTTTCATGCCGGGGAGCTCAGTCTCCATCCCTTCAAGGAATGAATTTTAATAATCATGTTCTAACCAGAGGCAAGGAAAATGGGAAACTGCTGGTATAGGGGTTTTGGTGTTTTTGTTGTTGTCACTTGTTACCTTTTGCAATACTAGGATTCAACCTAGGACCTCTGTACTGAGCTACATCTCCAGCACTCATCCACCCCTGGTTGTTTGTTTGTTTGAGACAGGGTCTTGCTATGAGTTTAGGCTGTCCTCACTAGGTAGCCCACTCACTATACAGCACAGGCTGGCCTCAAACTCATGTCAGTTCTCCTGCCTCAGCCTCCCAAGCGCTGAGGTAGGAGCTCTATGCACCACCTCCCCCAGCTTTTTTTTTTTCTGGACACTAGTTGTCACTAAATTGCTTAATTCTCAGACTCAGCTTGAACTTGCAATTCTCCTGCCTCAGCCTCCCAAAGTGCCAGGATAACACAAGTGTGCCACCATGCCTGCCCACTGGCACAAGTTAAAGTAGAGGGTATTAACAACTGGCATTAATGGTCCACATTCATGGGCTTTGTCAAAGGAAATATTAGAGGATGTGGTGTGTACCTCAGGCCCAAGGTTGCACCACAGCACTGGCAACAACAATGGAAAGCTAGAAATAGTCTAAGGTAGTTGGAAGCTGCCTAAATAAATTGTGGTGGAACATAATGGGATAGTATGGTGCTCTGACTTGCCTCGCATTGATGAATCATAGAATCAATTTAGTAGACTAACACCAGTCTTTTTTTAGTTAATCATAGATTAGAACCAAAAGTATCAATAGGCTTCATAGGAAGTAGGGGCAAAGATCAACTGTATTTTGTAAAACATTTTGTCTTAGACATGCATGTCTAGCTGGGTGTGATGGCACAGGCCCATAATCCCAGCATTCAGGAGGCTGAGGCAGGAGGATCACCATGAGTTGGAAGCCAGCCTGGGCTACATAGTGAGTTCAAGGTCAGTCTGAACTATGTAGTGAGAACCTGCCTCCAAAAGGGTGGGGAGGAGCCAAACTGCAGTACAGTAGCCTCATCTGATGACAAAGAAAGGCAGCCACAACAGGTGAGGTGAAAGCGCAGCATTCCCAGACAGGAAGTGTGGGCCAGCCTTGGCGGCATGAGTGCATGACCCTGACTTTCTTAGGGAGCTCATACTGCGGTGGTTGTCACCGAGCAGCCAGGCAGGAAACAGCCCTGCACTCACCCAGGTAGCTGAGGATGACAGGTAGGAAGATGAGGCCGTGGGCCAGGCCCAACATGGTGATCAAGAGGTTGAGGCGGAAGAAAAAGATCTGGATGAGCTGGGCCTTAGCAAGGCCCAGGATGAGGATGGCCGGCAGGTTGGTCATGGCCACCCCAGCAAACACCTGGAGGGTGACAGCCAGGCATCAGGCGGGCACAAGGCATCAGACCTGGGCATGGGCGGCCCATGCCTCGTCACTCACCGCACTGCCCATGGAGGCAGTGGCCTCTTTGGCCCTCTCCAGCCGGCTGGGCTTGGTGCTGATGGCAAAGGAGCGGGTGATGTGGGACACAAACTCCACCGACATTCCTACAGCCTGCGGGCAGAGGGTGGGACTCAGGGGAGTGAAGCCCGAGATGGGAGGAGAGGAGGTGCAGGCGGGTGGCTGTCCAGATTCCAGACAAAGCCAGGCATGACTCAAGGCCAGATCCCCAACCCATCATCCCACCAGGGGCTCCCCTGGTATCTGTGTCCCTCCCGTTACCGCAACCAGGTTGATGAGGGACACGGCATTGAAGGTGATTTGCCACATGGCCATGAGGCCAACGGTGTCCGAGAGGATCATGATGATGACAAGCAGGTTAAGGAGGCCGGAGCGCATGTCCAGGCCCAGCAGGAAGTAGCAGACCACGAAGGTGGGCAGGAAGCACAGCGCGAGCACAAAGATGCCCTCAGGCAGCACAGTCAGGTACTGCTCGTAGAACACGTTGCTGATCCTGCCCGAGGAGTGGGGCTCCATCACACGCAGGCCCAGGGCCTTCGGGGTGCCCCATTTCGGGAGGAGATCACTGGGCTCAGCGAGGCTTATGGGGGGCTGAGTGGCATAGAAACAGACAGGCTCCAGGCCACCACTGGAGCCTCCAGTCTGAAGCTGTCTCTGTCCCTCGCAAGCCCTCTCAAGGCCACCACCCTAACTGCTGCTACCCAGCAGTTCCCTCCCCCTGACCTCCAGTGCAGCCCCTGACCCTCACGTGTAGGGGAAGACCTCGAAGTCTGGGTCCGTGCCCGGCACCTTCCGCAGCTCGGCTGTGATGTTGGCGGCCAGCAAGCGCACAGCCTTCAGGGCCTCTGTGAAGTCCTGTGAGTTCTTCAGGGGCTTGTGGTAGGCCATGAACTGGGAGGCTGCATGGCACATGAAAGGGGGGAGATGGAAGGCCAGAGCCTGCTGGAGACACCCTCAGATCATGCCAGGGACAGTGGCTTGGGCATGGGATTGGGTCCAACTCAGGGCTCTGCCACTACCAGTTCAGATGCAAGCACATGTCATGAATGGGGCTTTCATGTTTGTTCTGCTGCAGCCCTGAGAACTCTGCAGCTACCACAGAGACTGCGGGCCCAATGTGGGCAGACAGAGCCACGCAAGAGCTCCCTGGTGCTCCCAGAGCCTTCCCTGCCTGATTTCAAGATATGCACAGGATTGTTTAAATTAACTTAATTAGTTTTTTTAAGTTGCATACTCCAGGGTTGGGGAGATAGTTCAGTGGAATAAGTGCCTGCCTGGCAAGTGCAAAGTCCTGAGTTCAATCCCCAGTACCACAAAATAAATAAAGTTGCACGTTCCTACAGGAAAGGAGTAGAAAGTAAGACAGAAGAATAAAAACGGTGCATTTGTCAGAGCAATGGCTTAGAACTCCTGGAAGTTAAGTACAAGCTGCAGGCAGTAATGTACACTGTGAACTGTTTCAGAACAAAGTGAGGGACTCCATCAAAAGCTCCCTAATTGCCGCTGACCCTCAAGCCTCCTCTCTGCCAGCTGCACTGGCCTTCCCATGCTGAGCCGTAGCTGGCTCCCTCATGCCGATGGCCAACTGGTTCTGCACCTGCTGCAGGAAACAGCCTGTCACCGTCCATCTTTCTGTCAGTCCACCTCCATCTCCCTTGTCACTGCTGGCGGCTGCCAGGCTTCTGCCACTCTGAGGCATCCTAGCCAACTGCCTGGCACTAACAGCTGGATGGGATTTGGGTATGAATAGAGAGGTACGGTGGTGCAGGTCTGTTATCTCAGCAATCTGCGACGCTCAGAAAGATCGCAGGTTCTGGCCCAACCTTACTTAGCAACTCAACCAGAGCCTGTTTAAAAATAAGAAATGTTTTACTTTATCCCAGCCAGATGCCTCAGCAGATTAGAGCACCTGCTTAGGCAGACGCAGGGACCAGGGGTTCGATCCCTATCCTGCTGTGCTGACCCTGTGCTGGGGGCAAGCTGAACCCTCGATTGAGACTGGATGTGGTGGTGCATGCCTGTAATCTCAGCACTTGGGAGGCTGAAAAACAGGAGGATCACTACGAGTCCGATCTGTATAGTGAAACCCTGTAGACCGTATAGTAAATACATTAAAAAATTGTTAAAAATAAAAAATTTCAAAAGGCTAAAGGTGGTGCCAGGGATATAACTGAGTGTTACAGCACCTTCTTAGCAAGTGCAAGGTCCTGAGATAGATTCCTGGCACACGCGCGCGTACACACACACACACACACACACACACACGCACACACAAGGTTGTCTGTGTGCATGTGTAGCTCAGTGCAAAGGCCCTAGGTTCAATCCCCAGTACCACAATAACAGCAACAAAAATCATGTGTGTGTGAGAAGGTGCTTATCCTAGGGCATGGGTCGTGGGTGGTCCCAAGGACGACATCAGCTGCTGAGAGAGTGCCACAAATGTCACTCTGGCCATTGGTTTGCGTAGGAGAAGGGGTTTGATCCGAAGGCATGGGTTTGGGAAGCCCAACACCATTGGAAGCCCTCATGGAGGATGAAGGAGAGAAGATGCAAGGTGAGGAGGGGCTGTTCCCCAGGGCTCCTGGCAACTTCTGGCACGGCGCCCTGGGTCCTTCCCCCAAGCAGGGCCTTGCTTACCTCTAATCTGTCCATCGTCGCTGAAGTTCACGGAGGTGCTATACGCTGCCATACCCCTGCAGGGCGACGGAGCAAACTTAGTGGGGACCAGACCCACTCTTGTCTCCCTCCCCCTCTGCACCCCAGAGAGGCCCCTCATAACCTCCTGGCTCCTCTATGGCTGCTTTCCCCACCCACACAGCCACTCTCCCCAGAGGACACCCTTCTCTGAGCCTACCCTTTGGGGCAGTTGACGTTGGGCAGGTCACTCAGGAACAAGGGAAGGTACTTGTGGAACTGCTCCACCGTGGGCCGCACAGGCCCTGTTGTGAAGCTTATGCAGTTCTGTAGGCACCTCAAAAGACCTGCAGAGAGAGGGGGGCACTAGGTGGCAGCCCCCCAGGGCAACAGCTCCTGCTCAGAGCACCTTCTCCATCCCTACCCCCATACCCCAGGCCCCTGGACATTTGCATCTGCATCTCCAACTGAAATCCTGGTATTGACAGGCTTGTGGGGAAGGCAGGGATGGAGCAGAAAACCCAGGCATGCCTCCCACGTGCAAGCACAGCAGCTTCTCTTGCAGCTGGGCATCACCTCAATGATCGCACCCTGAAATCAGGGGTACCACACCCCAGGGAGCACAAGGGTGTGTATGTACAGGCTTCTACCTGAGGTCCAGCCTGTGCCCCTGCCTTCACTGGACCCTGCATGGCGTGGGAGGGCGAGAGCCTTGTAGCCCTTTGCTTCAGTTTCCCCCAAGCTGCAGTGGGTGGTGAGTCCCTGAGGCCCCCACACTTACTTTCAGTTGAGGGGCAGAACTCGCCCTTATGGGGACCTGACGTATAGATGCGGCAGCAGGAAGACGGGGTCAGCCAGTCAATGAAGTCATCCACCCAGGAAGAGGCAGGGATGGACAGGTATGACCTGGGGCCAGCAGAGGTAGTGAGGACCAGGACCATGGACAGAGCAGGGTCCCTCCTGGGCTTACCATACATCAGCCACTGGGCAGGAAAAGGGGCAGGTGGGACTAGGGGACACAGATGGGATACAGCCTGGGAGCCAAGGGATCGGGCACTTACTCATCAGGGAACTCGGTGGCATACTGGATCTTCTGGGTCATGGAGAAGGGGTCGCAGCCTGCACTGGAGCAGATGCCATTCATGCCAGCGTCGCTGGAGAAGTTGTAGCCCGAGGTGGTGACAAAGTACACAGGGGGCCCCACCTCAAAGTAGCGGCCCATGAAAAGGAAGTAGTCGAGCAGGTAGGAGTCCTGGGAAGGAGGACGACCAGGAAGCCTCAGGAGACCAAAGTACACACAGGGGCTTATACCCGCTCATACTGAGAAGTTAATTCTCCCAAAACAATTCAGTACTGTTCCTCTTGAAATCCCAATACCATTTTTTGAAAACTTAGAAAAATCCACCCTAAAATTCATAAGGATCTGGGTGTAGTGGTGCATGTTTATAATCCCAGCTCCTCAGGCAGTTGAAGCAGGCGCTCAAGGTGAGTCTGAGATCCTGTATCAAAATTTAAAAAGTGGATGCTTGTTTGCGGCTTAGTGGTGGAGTGCTTACCTAGCATACACAGACCACTGGGTCCAATCCTCAGTACCACAAATAAAAAGCAATTCAAACTTGGCATGGTGGTTCATACCTGTAATCCCCAGCACTCGGGAGGCTGAGGCAGGAGGATTTCTACAAATTCAAGGCCAGCCTGGGCTACATAGTGAGGTCAAGCCCAGCCTGAATCCCAGAGTGAGACCCTATCTCAAAAAATATTTTTTTAAATATTTATTTATTTTTATTTATTACATTTATTTATTGTGCGTGTGTGTGACCAGCTCAGCCCACCAGGGGGTGGGGCTGGCTGGCATGTGGTGCTGGGGATCGAACCGCGGTCCCTGTGCTTTGCCAAGCTTGTTTCAAGTAGGT